TCTGATTTTTATCTCCATCCTTTTCACATTTCTATTCACTAAGCGAAGGCACGAGGCTTAATGTTGTATTTCTGAAAGGTCCCTGGACAGATTTAGTTCTGGAAAGGAATATATATAGACAGCTGGAATGAGGTACCCTGTTTTTACTACAGTGAATGCCTTGTATTTTAATATCCTCTTCTAGCCAATACTAAAATGCCTTCCTGGCATGTTCCCCCTAAGGTCGTTGGTGTTATTTGGAGGTTTCAGGCATCCTCCATTTGGCGGATGATTCCCGAGGATTTGGTGGCTCCGCAAGGAAATCAGGGAGCTAAATTTGCAGCTGGAGCTGCTGGCGTGTCATGGAGACAGGCGTGCAACATTTTTGCAAGAAACCTGGTAGGAGGATCTTCTGCTTTCTCTCAAGTTTAGAAGTAACATTCAAGTCTTCACGGTGAAAGCTTGTGGATGTAACCAGATATAAATATACAACGGCACATACAATCCTACGTTTAGGAAAGATAAACATCAGGGGAAAGGCCACATGGTTGTGGAAATGATACAAATGCAGGAACATGTGATACCTTGAATTGATCATTAAGAATATATATAAAAAAACAAACAAAAAAACCAAACAGTGAGCTTTTGATGACAGATGATCTTCTTCAAGGCTCTGCATCAAGTTCTTGGGGGTACTCCCAACTTACATGCTGTTGTTAATCTCCCAAATTCACATGGCTGATGATGTTGAGAACATGTTTGCCCCAGATTGCCTTCCTGTCACTTAAGAGATGAGCCATAAAGTCCAAACTGCTAGCTAAGAAGGAGCCTCGCATACAGCAGCTATCTCCATCTAAGAAGCAAACCTGGCCTCAACATTATAAGCCATGTCAATTTGGGACACTGACAACAGCATATAAACAAAAACTTGATACACAGCCTTGAAGAAGATGATCTATCATTGAAAGCTCCCTGTTTGCTTTTTTGTTTGCTTGCTTGTTTTATATTCTTAATGGTCAATTCAAGGTGTCACCTGCGCCTGATTTTAGGAAAGAGAGGGAGACCGACTCGCCGAATCATGACTAACTCTTAGCATTTTATGCCTTACTTCATGTGCCTTTATCCACATAGCCTGTTTGGTGACATGGTTCCATATTGTGGTTCAGAAGCACCATCAGGTCACGTACGTAGAGACCCACAGTGGATCTGAGGGAACAGGAAGAGGAGATGGCACACCATCAGGTCACGTACGTAGAGACCCACCGTGGATCTGAGGGAACAGGAAGAGGGAATGGCATTGGAGGAAGCAGCCATTGAGGTGGTGCTGGGTAGGGGAAGGAATGACAGTGGGGATAGAATTTGAGGTAGTGCTGGGTAGGGGAAGGAATGACAGTGCGGGTAGAATATGCCCATGTAGGAGAAGAGAGTTTAGATACCTTACATCTATCCCCTCTTCTAGTCCTCCCCCCAACCAGATGGTATCAGGTGGCTATATCAGCAAAACCTCAAAGCCACACAGTGCTGTTGATGAACGCCAGGTCAGTACAAAGTAAGACTGCCCTCATCCATGATATAATTCTGGATGAGGGTGCTGACCTGACATGCATTACTGAGACCTGGGTGGGAGACCTTTTGAAAGAGCCATCCCTTAAGGAGGTAAGAGGGACGGCTTGTAGACAAAGGGCCTTTTCGGCAGCTGCCCCCAGACTATGGAACACCCTCCCGACTGAGATTCGTCTGGCGCTGACGCTGATGACATTTCAGCCCCAGGTCAAAATTTCTCTGTTCCAGAAGGCTTTTAATTGAAATAATATCAACTGTGGGTCCTGATGGCAATTTTTAGAGTATATATTTTAATTGTATTTTAATTGTTTTATTTTTTTACTGTGTTTTAATTGTTGCAATTTATGCCACAGGAAGCTAACCATGTGGATATTTTAATTGTTTTATCTTTTTTTACTGTGTTTTAATTGTTGCAATCTGCACCTATGTCACAGGAAGCTAGCCATGTGGGATGTAAAACAGATACTGGTCTTGATCCAATGTTTGGGAAAGCCTTACTCCTAAAGAGGAATGGAAATTGCCAAATTCTAGACAGTTAACTGCACTGGGTTGCATGCTAGACACCTTTAAATTTTGATTTTCTGGATAACACAGTGGTTGCCAGAGGTTGGGAATACAGATGGGCACAAACCGCCGATTCATTTATTGCCCAAACAGCTGTTTGGTGCTTCCAAACCTTGTATCCTCCAGTGGGCACCCACTCAAAGGCAGAGGAGGTGGGGCAGGGAAGCCAAGGCCATGCTTCTCTGTGGGTGCCCACTGGAGGAGCTGAGGCTTAAAAGTGCCAGATACCTGTCTGGGCAATAAACGAACCAGCACGAATCGGCAAACTGGCTGTTCATGCCCATCTCTAGTTGGGAGTCAATTATCCACTGTGCCTTTTTAACAGGGATTGGACTCGATGATCTATAGAGTCCCTTCCAGCTCTGCCGTTCTAAGATGTTGATGATCATTATGATGATGATTTGGGCCCCTCCAATCTGGCTCATGCTCTGGACACAAACCGATTTGTGAATTTCTTTCACTTTGCTCCAAAATCAAAACTGATCTTTCTGCTTTGGTCTGGGCCCCGCCCAAATCAGTCTAAATCAAGTGGATTTTGTTAGTAATTTTAATTGCAACAGTGATGGTCCCAATCCACCACACAGCTGTGTTCAACATAGAATCATAGACTCCTTTATGTATTTATCTGTAATGGGAGAAGAAAGATCACTTCAGTCGGCTAAGGATCCCTATACATCAGATCCAAGCTACCAGCTCTCATAGAACAGACAGGGCATTTTCAGTTCCATGAAGTGGGCAGCTGCCATTAGACATATGATCCGCCTGCAGCCATCAGTTACCACTGGAAAATCCAAAGTTGAAGGTTTCTTCATCAAATCAACATTACAGACTTATAATGCATTCTTTAATTAGACGTTGCTATTAACTGGACTGTTGCGTGATTTAAATCTAGCTGTTAATCTCCGTCATTCTACACTGCCATAGTTTTTATGACATCTAGCGAGTGACTCCTTTATGTAGTAATCTATCTGAAAACCACCTTATTTTTCTTTCCTCCTTCCTTTTTTTATAGAAAGAAGAAAGGACATGAGATTGAAATGAAAGCTTTTCTGAGTCCGTCCATTAGTAATTTTCTGCTTAGTATTTGAAAAATGGCTCGTTTTAATTGCTTCACAGAGGAGAAAGCTATCAAAGCTAATGCTCTTTCTTTCCAAAGTTTTGTAATTATTTCTCTTGGACTCTTATTTGAAATGGCTTGAAAATATTTTCATTAAAATGTAGATTTTTCCCCTCCTCTCCTCTTTCTCTCTCTTTGAAATGGACCTCTATTCTACAGTGCTCCCCTCCTCCTCCTCCTCCTCCTTTCTTTGTTTGGCTACTAGCTTTACACTATGTAGAGATGAAGTCCAGCATTTGAAAACAAGAACAAGAGGATATGTCATTTGCATTGCTATTATCAGCCAGAATTCCATCAGGTTCGAATTTCATATCAAAATGCATGGTGTTGAAGGAAAACAAACATTTACAGGAATGTTTGCCCACTTCCACCCTCCTCCACCACCCAAAGTTCTGAGTATTCGGGGAAATGATTTGACCTCCACTTTCTTTCTTCTTGATCTTAATGGCATAAAGACCTACGAAGAATCCTGTCGAATCAGATCAAAGGTCTATCCGATCCAGTATCCTTGTTCCTATGTGCCCAATGAGATGCCTTTGAGAAAACCCACCGTCAGGAGAGCAAGGTGGGAAAGACTCTCATTCGGTGATGCTCCCCAGCAAGTGATCTTCTGGAATATATGGCCTCAGGACCTGGAGGAGACATCACAGCCATAACTAGCCATTATGACCGTTGGGACCTTGCAGGCCTTTAGCTTAAGTGAAGAGAGTGAAATATATAGAAAACAGATGGAGTACTTGAGGCAAACAGCTTCATGTCCTTCCATTGACATCTTTTGGTGCCCTCTAAATTTCTGTGCCGTGGGTCACGATAACTCTTTTTGCTAAGTCAATGACACCAATGCTGGTGGAGAATACAAGGATGAAGGGCACCAAAGCATTAAGGCCACCAGGCAAAATAAAACCAAACTTTCTTCTCCTCCAGCATGGTGTATCATAAGATTTGTCTTCCTGCTTGAAGCCCAAGAGAAGCAGGTAACCCTTATAAGTTGTCATGGACAGATTCATCCTTCATGAAGTCATCTAAACTGGTGGACATGGCTAATCTGAATGTCAAGTTTGCTATGCACCGGTTGCGTAAGCCAGTGTTCCTCAACCTTGGGCCTCCAGATGTGCTTGGACTACAACTCCCAGAAGCCTTCAACACTACCTCTGCTGGCCAGGATTTCTGGGAGTTGAAGTCCAAGAACATCTGGAGGCCCAAGGTTGGGGACCACTGGTGTAAGCCACCTGTGAGGATTCCTTACTCAGTCTGCCATATAATTTCTGACATTCTCCTGCACAATTCTGTTGGAGTTTTATTGCAACCTCGCATGCTGCCTTTAGTATGTTTGGCTGGGAGGGACCTTTCAGGGCTGGGGTGACTGTCAATCTATCCAGCACTAACCAATGGCTCCCTCTCGCCTCTGATGCAAAGAGAACCCTGCGTCTCTGCTCTGCCTTTTTTCCACCTCTCTTGCAGTCTGTGAAAGTGTTGAGGCCTGTTGCTGCAAGCAGCCATATTTTGCCAGTTTGCTGTTTGATCTAGTTGAGTTTGAGTAATAGATTTTTTTTAATCTTTCTCCCACTAATATCTCTGAGTGAGTAACTGAGACTCTAAGTGCCAGTTGATGAGGGGAAAAAAGGAGTAGGGAACTCAGCTGTTCTGCTCTGTGAATCCCTGCACTTCTGTTGAACAGCTAAGGGAATTTTTCATAAAATAACCCTAGAATTCTTCTAGGGGGAGATCTTTTTGAATCGTGATGGATACAGGAATGTTCCACAGCTGTATCACCGACCTTGCATCCTCCTCTTCTAGGATGAGTTCAGTCTGTACTTGATGATGCCCTTGGCAATGTGCCCCACTGGAGTCCAAATGTTGTCAGTTATGATGCACAGTGTTTCAGGGGTTGGCAGCAGGTGGCCTGCAGCTGGCATATACTGCTCATGGAACACCCTCCAGTACTCAAGAATACTCTGAAAAGATGGAGAATCATGCTGATGGAAGTCTCTAGGAAGTATGGTTCTCTTCTAAAACAAAGTGTATGACCCCCCGACAACTTCTTTTGATCCAAAATGAGTTTGTTTGTTTAATATATATCATGGTCAAGATGAAAAAAGCTGTAATAATTTAGGAGATGATGAAGGTGCCAAACTATACTCTCTTCCTTTTTCTTCCCGTATGTTTTCTTTCACCCATTATTTGTCACAACTGTGAAAGCCAACATTAAAGGCCACAAAGCTCCAGCACAGATAGTACTCTCCATTTCCACCAATGCAAGAAATAAATTAGAAAGCCCGGCCTCTGTGGGGTCATGCACCCCTTTGAAAGCCATATTGAACACCTTTGCTGTTATAATTCTGTGGCTAGCCGCCCTCCTGTGGTTTGCATACTCAGCAGATATGTCTCCTTGAGGAGAGATGAGGGAGATAAGTAATTCAAAGAAGGCGTGCGAGGAGATGTTGTTGACGTTGGTTGTTGTTGTTTTAAAATAAAAAACCGTTAAAAGAGAGAGCGATTGCGGCCCTTAAGTGCCCAACAGTAACAATAGTCTCATCCCCGCACTTCATTTCTAGTGTTTTCTCTCAAAGACGGCTCTTCTAGATAAGTATTTATAATTATAAACACAATTTCCTTTAAAAGAGAAACAAAAAATGGTAGGAGTGTTGCAATATTTTGCTGGCAGGTGTGTTTTTATTGCAATGGGCACGGGGGGAATAGAATGGTAAAAGGAGGAACGATCAACATAATTATTGTTTGGTCTCATTTCTTCTGTTGATAGTGACTTTCTTCCATTTTTATGCCATTGGTTAAGTGTATTCTTTGTCAATGAAGAGGTCCAGCATTACCCATGGACACTTTAGATGTTCTGCAAAGGTTACTCAGCAAAGCCAATTAAGTAAGTAATGAACAAGATGATCAGGATAGGTCTTCCTCTCAGCCCCACCACCTTCACAGATGCATTTGATGGGGACACAGGAAAGGGCTTTCTCTGTTACTCCTCCGAGACTTTGGAACTCCCTCCCACAGGAGCCCAGGCTGGCCCCATCTTTGCTGTCCTTTCATAAGCAGGCAAAGACCTTTCTCTTCAGGCAAGCTTTCCCTAAGTAACAGGCTACCTGAGTGGAATATTTAAATGGAGAGTTGTGCCTTTGAATGTGTTTTTTAGTATTGCTTTTATCATTTCCTAGAGTGACATTTGTTTGATACTTTGCTTTTAGCTTTAAATATTGTATTTTAATTATGTCAGCTGCTTTGGGTCCTTTTTAAAGAGAATGGTAAGGTAAAAATGATGATGATGATGATGATGATGATGATGATGATGATCATCATCATCATCATCATCATCATCATCATCATCAACAACAACAACAACAACAACAACAACAGCAACAACTCTGCCAAGAAGAAGATGAAACTGTGTCAGACCTCATCTGTGAAAGTGCAAAGACTGCACAAATATATTACAAAATTAAGACATAATAGAGTGGCAAAGTTAATACAGTACACTGGTCATTAATGCAAAAAAATATAACTTGCCACCCTCCAAAAATCCATGGGAACAGCAGGTAGAGAAGGTGTCAGAAAACTAGGAAGTCAAGAGTTTGTGGGATTTCCAGATCCAAACGGAGAGACACCTTGAACATAACACACCAGACATAGTAGTAGTAGAATGAAGAAATGGATCATTGACATTGCAATTCAATTGAATGCCAGAGTTAAAAATAAAGAATTGGAAAAGCTAACAAAATGCAGAGACCTGGCCATCAAAACATATCACCTGGATGAAACACACTTCAGTGGTCCCTGTAGTCATCGGGGCTTTGAGGAAAAGATCAAGAAACTTCAGACAGTACTATAAGCAATAAAATCACGCCATCAGAGCTACAAAAAATGGCAAGATTAGAAACAGCATACATACTGTGCTGATATTTAACAGATACTTAGGTTTTTGTTTAAAACTTGGATGAAGAAGAAGAAGAAGAAGAAGAAGAAGAAGAAGAAGAAGAACAACAACAACAACAACAACAACAACAACAACAACAACAACAACAACAACAACAATGTCTAAAATGAATGCAAAGAAAACCAAGTTTGTGATCATCTATAAAAAATAAGGAGCCCAAGAAATACAGTTCAAGATTCCAAATAAAAGTTTGTTGTATGTTGGAAAAGATAAAGATAAAGATGACTTAAAATAGCTCCTTTAAGATTAAGATTACAGCACAAAACAGCATTTAAAACTGGCTTGGATAATGTGCATTTTAAGTTGCTATGTATTCTTGATTCTATGGTATGGCATGGAATTGTGGACTTTGACACAGCCTGCTATAAAAAAGATACAAGTGTCTGAAATGTGGATTTTTTTCCAGCATCCCAAGAATTTCTGAAATTAAGAAGGTGAGCAGTGAAGAGTTACTGAAGGCCAAACAATCATGAAACACATACAATGGGGAAAGCAAGAATCACATTAGCATAAATAAATTGAATCACATATACATAGACAAATAGAGTGTTACAGCTGATCATTCAAAGTAAAATTAAAGGAAGAAAAGAGTGCTAAAAACAAAAGAACCTAATGGCTGGAGAATCTGGATATCTGGTACAGATGCAGTGCAATTTCTTTGTTAAGAGCTGCCAGATCCAAAGTCAAAATAGCCATAATGACATCTTGCTAGGTGGGGGGGGCAAGGGAAGGCAAAAGAACAAGAAGAAGATGGCTCGAGACAGTGGCTTCATATAGATGAGGGCCAATTAGCCCACCCAAGAATTTTGCACTTTTGCTCCCCCCAAATGTGGTGGCCAAAAAAGGAAATCCTTGTTGAATCACGTTATCTTGCTTTGCTCTTGAGCTTCCCATACAAAATGTGAACCTTTTTAAAAAAACAAGCATTTTTACTTGCTTTTTGATGGCTTTTATTGTCCAGTCCTCAAAATGTGGTGATATGATCTGACAAATGTTAGTGGTGCAGTTTTTGGGTAGGAAACATGAGGGCTGGGGAAGAGATTGTGCATTCTGTTGCCGTGATCACACTGGGGCAACACCCAGCCTACGAAACCTTCCGCCATTCAAAATTATCTATTTCTTCCACTCGAGAAAGAAAGAAGACTGTTTGCCTTGTACCATGGAAGCACTCTGTGGTGCAGACGGGTACTCTTTCACACACACACACACACACACACACACACACACACATAACACCCCAGCTGATTCAAGGTCAAAGAACGTCCCCAACCTGGAACATTTTTGGTCTTGACTTGTCCTTCAAACATTGTTGTTTCACCCAATCACAGTACTGAAACATGGACACCTCATGACACCCACAAGTACTTCTCAAACATTTTTGGGATGAGGTAACTTCCCTGTCCTCATCCATGGCCCTCCCCACCCCCATATTGGGAGACACTTCCTTGGATTTGTGGAAGCCTCAGCTGCTCCATAAGAAGCTTCTAAATGGCACCCTAAATGTCCCTGGCACATAGCTGGAAAAGTACCATCGTAAAATAATGGAGTTGGAAGGAGCATGTAAGGCCATCAAGCCCAACCTCCTGCTCAGTGCAGGAATCCAAGTCAAAGCAAATCTGAGAGATGACTGTCCAATTTCCGCTTGAATGTTTCTGGCTTTGGAGCGCTGATCACCTGCCAAGGTCATTAGTTCCATTGTCATACTGCTCTAACTGTTAGGAAGTTTTTCCTGATAGTAGGCCAAAATCCAGTTCCTTGTAGGCTGTAGGTTCCATAGTTGTGTCTCCTACACTCTTGGATGACTGAGAACAGATCCTGCCCCTCCTCTGTAGGACTACCTTTTAATTATTTGAAGAGTGGTATCCTATCTGCCCTCAATCTTCTTTTCTCAGAGCTAAACGTGCCCAGTTCTTTCTGTCTTTCCTCCTAGGGCTTGGTTTCCACCCCCTGATCATCCTTGTTGCCCTCCTTTGAACTTGCTCCAGTTTGTTGGCATCTTTTCCATGATGGAAAGATTAATAGGTTGGGTTTTCTTTTTAAAACCGAGCATAAAGGAAACTAGCCACAATTCATGGTGTTAATGAATAGTGGCACGGAGCAGGGAGCAAACTTTTGCAGGCTGCAAAACAAAACATTCCAGCCACATGAATAAAAGCACTGCATTTCCTGGCTAATATTTGCAGAAGCTTGTTCTTGCCCGCAATGGCAAAGTCATTTGAATGGGTTTCTTCAAGCCGTTCTTTGCTGCCCTCCTGGTAACATTTTCATTGTCAGTCCTGAGTTACTGTTTAATCCATAATCGCTTGATAAATGGAGTGCCATTCAAATACCTGTTAATTAAACCAAAGATGGCAGAGACAGTAGGAAAAAAATCTGGGGACCTCATGCATACTTACAAGAGGGGAAAAGCAAGAGTGTTTAATAATTATTTTCATACGATAAAATCCTCAATTGTTCCATATCTCTCATCTCGTACAGCGTGCCGTTTGCGTTTTGTCAAAAATGTTGGTTTGGCAGAGATGGAGTAACAGCCCTCAGTGCATGCAACCAGTTCTCTATATTTGGGGGGCGGGGGAGTTGGGATTTTAAAAATAAAAGTTTGTGAGAAGGCAAAACTGACAAATTTGCCCATTTGGGCAGAAGGAAGGCATTGAATGATTAACCCCTCGTTTTGCAGCCTTAAGGATTCAGCCATGCCTTGGTACTGAATCCGGGTTGCCACCTCCTTTGTTTCTGAACGGCTCTTCTTCTTCAAAGCCCACATGACATGGAGGTTCACAAAGGGTGTCTCCATGCTGGGAATGCTTGTACCTATTTCATTTGGCCTGCGCAGGTAGGGAACAATTTTGTTTCAGCACATTTTTGAATAATTTAACCGAATTTGCTGTTATTATTATTTTCTCCCAGTTTTAGTGTGACACGAACAGAATGCTTTTCCTTTTCTGTTGAAATAAGCAGAATGATGCTACATCCCAGGTCAGACTGGGTTTTGATGATCACCCACAAAGACCTTCATGGTTTGAGATCATGCTACCTGTTGGAGTGTCATCTACCCACTCCACTAGGTCCTCCCAGGTGATGGTCCTCCCAGGTGGCTACTCCAAAGGAGGCCAGAAAATTATCTGCCAGAAGCAGACATCTACCCACTCCACTAGGTCCTCCCAGATGGCTACTCCAAAGGAGCCCAGAAAATTATCTGCCAGAAGCAGGCCCTGCTTTGCAGTGGCTCCAACACTCTGGAACCAGCTCCTAGTGGACCTGCGCCTGGTCCCCTCCCTCGAATGCCCCTGAAAACATTGCATTGTACATACATACATACATACATACATACATACAGACAGACAGACAGACAGACAGACAGACAGACAGACAGACAGACAGACATTTTTGTGTTTAAGTTGCAAATCTCAAGTTCTTTATTGCTTTTTTGTGTATATTATTTAACTTTATTGATTAACACACACACACATACATACATACATACATACATACATACATACATACATACATACATACATACATACATACATTTCTGTGTTTAAGTTGCAAATCTCACCACTTGGAGTTCTTTATTGCTTTTTGTGTATTTTATTTAACTTTATTGATTAATTTGCTTTTAACATGTTACAAACCACCCAGAATAGTCTATTGCAGTAATGGGGCAGTAAGTAAGTAAGTAAGTAAGTAAGTAAGTAAGTAAGTAAGTAAGTAAGTAAGTAAGTAAGTAAGTAAGTAAGTAAGTAAGTAAGATAAATAAATGTATTTATCACCTCAACCTGCCATATTTTTAAACCAGCCTCTGTCAACTTAAACCCTGGAGTGGCCTCTGGACTGACATGGCTGTTGGTTTGTTCTCTCTTCTGCTCCAACTCCAGCCTGCCTTCCACAAGATTCACACTTTTGGGCCCTTTGGATCTGTTTTGCAATTTTGCAGACCGTTGCTGTGTTTCCCAGTGTGGCTTAAATGGTGAGAGTCCCTGCCCTGTATTGGTTAGAGTATGGAATTGGGACCAGGAAGATCTGGAGGCCCAAGGTTGAGGACCCCTGGGTTAGAGTATGGAATTGGGACCGGGAACGTCTAGGTTCCAGACACCCTCAACTGTGAACGTCATTGGATGACCTCGGGCCAGACATTTTCCTTTAGCAAAACCTACCCTGCAGGGTCATTTTAAGGTTTAACATGGAAAGGAAGAAAGCTACAGGGGCTGCCTGGAGTGCAATGGTCGAAAATGTCGTGTATAAATCTCACTTTTAATGTTTTAGCCAAAATAATTGACTAGATACAGCATCAAACTAGGGCTCAGGAAATCAAGCTTCTTCTTCAACACCATGGTCGTAGAATTGCAGAGATGGAAAGGACCCTGTGGATCATGGAGTCCAACCCTTGTCAAGGAGGGCCAGGTGGGGAATTGAACTCCCAACCTCTAGCTTCGCAGCAAAAGACCTAAACTACTGAGCTATCCAGCAGTTTGCACCATGCATGGCCATTGAAATGCATTGGCGAGTAGGAATGGTAACATCTCCTATGACCCACAAAACCCTATTATGCTCACCAAATATCTGAAGCAACTCGATGACATATAGACCATTTTATTTAATACAATATTGAATTGTTATTATACAACTTAATAACAAAAGTATTATATTGTTGCTTAGTAGAAATTCAGACAATGCATTAGTTTATTTCAGAACACGGTTTCATCAACGATTGATTAAAACAATAGCCCAACTTTGCTCCTTTTGTTCCCTGTGTATCTTTTCTCTTTTTTGCACTGAGGCTCTGCCCTTCTTATATTTTACAATAAAAGACAACCTACGCTCAAAAACGTAATCAGATCCGCATCTTCATGTTTCTTGGTCTCTTGCTAATTTTGACATAACATTGCAGGGGCTACGAGTCCTTCTGGAAAGAGGAGGTGGGGTGCTTTCTAAACACATCGTGCCCAAGTTGCAATGGTCATCTTTTAAAATGCAGCTCCATTATCCTTTTCTCCCCCATTTGGAATGAATGAGGCTAATTAATTTCAGGCCATACTTGATGAAGTCAGCACCATATGAGGGGGTGCGTGCAAGACATGGCTAATCTCTTTCAGCTGAGAATGATGAATTAAAGATGAAGCATGCCTTGACAGGCCTAGTTTAGAATACACACACACACACACACACACACACACACACACACACATATATATAACCTACACCGAATAACTCTATACCTTCCACAACAAAGGAAAAAAAAACTTCTTGTCATTGGATCCCATGAAGCATAAATTTTGGGGAGTAAAAAACCCTTGGAAATTCAGCTGTGATTGGGTGGAATGGTTCAGAAAAAGGCAAGCTGGTGGCGTTGCTTCACTGCCCATGCAGAAATGTGTATATTCCTGTGGATGTAGTCAACTTCCTTCATTCTTCATTCCAATTCAAAGTGCTGGTTCTAAACAATAAAGCCCTAAACGGATTGGGTCGAAGCTATCTCATGGACTGTATCTCCCTTTATGAGATTCTCCAAGTTTTAAGATCATCATCAGAGGCCATTCTCTCAAATCCCACTACCTTTAAAGGTATATTTGATGGGGACATGGGAGAGGGCCTTCTCTGTCGCTGCTCCCAGACTTTGGAACTCCCTCCCACAAGACGCCAGGCAGGCCCCATTTTGTTGTCCTTCCACAAGCAGGTGAAGACCTTTCTCTTCAGGCCTTTCCTCAGTGACTGACTCCCACAATAGGGCATGATTGCTCTTGAATGTTTTTAGTATTTTTTTACTGTGCAATAGTGTGGCATTTGAGCGTTTTTAGTACACTTACTATTTTTAGCTTTAAATATTGTCTTTTAATGATGTAAACCATTCTCCTTTTTTTTAAGGAGAAAGGTGGAGTGAATATATTTTAAATAAATAAAAATAATCTAGGACCAATGAAATTTACTTCTTGGATTGCTCTCTTGGTTAGCTTTCAATTCAGTATTTTATAAGAAATGCCTAACTTTGAGTGTCTGGAAATACTCCGCCTTGCTGCACATCAGCGACATAGTTAAAAGGCTGATGGTGGTGAAGCATGTCATGATTCTTTAAGCAGTTGGTGGGTCTAGCCAAGGGTTGCATTGGCCAATGAATTCCCAGGCATGCTGTGCCTACGTCATTCTTTGCTTCTGGAAGTTCTCTACTGTCCAATCATTTAGCTTTATAAGGAGTTGGCTAGGGAGCATCAGATTGTTTTCTCAATTATGGCTCTTATCACAGTTTGTCTGTGTTAGGTTGTCCATGTTTTCCTGCTGGGTAGGCGGTGTAGATTCTATGATAACTTTTGTCAGGCCACCTTGCTGTTATAATAACATGTACTCAGGGGATGGCTGACAAAGGCAGGCATTCTTTAAGCCTCAAGGAGAGGTGGAAGGCTCTTGCCCACGGGATGTGAATACAGAGTGTGTGACAGTGCTGAGACAGAAGGGAAAGAGGAGGGAACCAAAGATCCACAAATCAAACAGGAGAGACACAAACCTAAGAGGAAGGGAAAGGTGAGAATCATGTTCCTATCCTGATCCTTTGGAGTCATAGAGCATCGTGAGCTTAGACATAGTTGGATGTTTCTTGTCCAAATGGGTTCAAAAGTTGAGTCTGAGAAGAACTGGGTGCCTTCATAAAGTTTGTGATGGTTTTGAAGGAGGCTGTGTCAGCAACAAAGTTATGATCCTGCTGTCCCTTCCTGATCTATGCCAAAATATCTCAGTTTTCTTTCACGAACTCCATGTTGTGTGCTACCACCCACAGGTGTATATATATATAATAAATGTCAGCCATCAAGTCAACCGTGCTACCACCCACAGGTGTATATATATAATAAATGTGAGCCATCAAGTCAACTCTGACTTAAGGCAACCCTTTCCAGAGTTTTTCAGGGAAAGAATACTCAGAGGTGGTTTCCCATTCCCTTCTTCTAGAAGCATCCTGGGATTGTGCAGCTTGCCCAAGGCCACCCAGGCTAAGTCTGGTCACAGGAGAAACAGTGGAGAATTCAATTCCCAACCTCTGGCTCAGCAGCCAGATACCTAAGACACTGAGCTATCCAGCCAACAAGTGCATACTGGAACATAATATATGAGCTCATAGTTAACACAAATAAACTGCCAGAGTTGCCCTATCCCTATGCCAAAGAATTGCATTTTTTTAATGACCACAAACAGTGTATTTTTGCCACCACTCCAAATCATGAAAATAGAAGGTTTAGACAAACAGTGTCTAAGAAGTATTGCCATCTACCCATTGCTACCTAAACCTTTCTCAGAGTATAAAATCAGGGTTGTGTCTTACCAACACAATGCAGAAAGGAAGCTCTAACGTGTCTTCAGCGCAGCATTCAAGGTTCTTGTACAGTCATTCTCTCAGCCCTGAAGTGGTAGAGTCTAAAGTAAAGACCAAAGGAGTTACATAGGTGACAGGTGAACTGTTCTGTCTTTTGATGGCTTACTTGAAAAAGTACACTCTGTAGCATTCTAAGGGAATGCTTTGCTTCTCAACCAGATTCAGTGCTAGTAGTAGAAGGAGGTGGGCACCCCCCTCTCCTTGGGCTGTTTCATTCTAAGGGAATGCTTTGCTTCTCAACCGGATTCAGTAGAAGGAGGTGGGCTGTTGGACCACAACTTCCATCTTCCCTACTCTGCATGGCCAACACCTGGGGGTGAGAAGTGCCGTACACCTGCTTGTCCAAAGGACAAATGGACGTGAACCACTGATCCAACAGTTTATGCTCATCTCTAGATGGGAGTTCAATTCCCCACTGAGCCTCCTTGAGGAACTGGACCCCATAGGGTCCCTTTCAGCTTTTTAGTTTTAAGGTTATTATCCTTGTTTCTGAATAATGCGCATTTTCTCTGCAACCATCTCGCCACTTCTCCACCAAAGGTAATTATACAGAAGAATTTGTTTAGGTAGAGAAGAGGAGACAAGATCATAGTTTGTTATTGTTGTTTCTTACTCTGGAGCTATTAGAGCAGATGAATCTGACCACATCAGAGGCTGGATCTAACAAATACAGTTTGGCACATTGCACTAGTCAAATGGACTTTATAGATTATTTCCCATGCTATAGAATTCTCCAAGGCTCTCTCTAAAACAAATTCTTGCAGCAGTTTGAAAACTATTTAAATTCTGAATGATATATTCTTCCACTTTGGGGTGCATTTCTCAGCCATAACCATCAAAGGCCATTGAAAGGCCCTGGCTTTTGAAATAGATCAAAAATCTTTCTCTCACCCCTGCCCCCCCCACATACTCCGCAATTCCATTTAAGAGAACACACTAAGTTTCCTACATGTTGAGTCCATCACATGAGATCAGTGGTGATTGATTCCTGACTGTAGTTCCTGACAGTATGTGGTGCAATTTGGTCTGACCATCCAGAAACCAAGGAAGACAAGCAAGGAAACAGCTGGATGCATTTAGCTAGTGAAAGCCAGGGCCAAATGTCAGCCTGATCACCTAGGCAGCCAGATGTGCAGGCCAAGGTAACGCCACTGTCAATTGCACAGGTTAAGTCGTGGTCTCTCCTCAAACAATAATTTTTGGGCTTATTTATTCAAAATATTTGTCTCCAACTGATGGGATTCAATAAGATCCATAGCTTAGAAAAAGGGGCTGGCTGTTTTTCTGGACCCCCTGTCCATTGAATACCCCAGCCTGGTGCCTAGCAAATTTACAGAGCTGTAGTTTTCAACAAAATAACTTTCCTGAGTTCTAGCATTAACTTGCTTAGTAGCTTTTATGGATTGAAAGTGAGATTAAAGGATGAAGGATGAGTCCACATATATAGACATCTGTTCTTTAATGAATCCGAATATTGGTTTCTATACCTCACTAATGAACTCTCAGAATTCAGAAAATATAATTTTTTTGCAATACAGGCCGTGTTGGCTGGTGGATTCTTGGAGTTGTCATCAAAATAGTGTGTTTTTCCAAGCTCAGGGTCTTTGTCATGTAATCCAGTGCTCCTCCAACCTTGGGCCTCCAGATGTTTTTGGACTACAACTCCCAGAAGCCTTCACCACCACCTTCTGCTGGCCAGGATTTCTAGGAGTTGAAGCTCAAGAACATTTGGAGGCCCAAGGTTGGGGACCACAGAAGTAATGGCTCTTTAAATTTCTAGATCTCAGGTCAATGGATCAAGGGGTTCTGTTGTTGTTATGTGCTGTCAAGTTGCCCCCAACTTTTGTCAACCCCATGAATGAGCGATCTCCAAGATGCCCTGTCCTCGTCAGCCCTGCCCAGCTCCTGAAAACTTATGCCTATGGCTTCTTTCATGGAATGAGTCCATCTCGTATTTGGTCTTCCTCTTTTCCTGCTGCCTTCGACCTTTCCCAGCATGATTGCCTTTTCCAGCGAATCCTGTCTTTTCACAATGTGCCAATAGTAGGATAACCTCAAAGAGGCATATGCCCTTTAAAAACAGCAGGGAAAAAAGCACACAAAAGATTTAGAGGAAAATATGAAGAAATCAGGAAGGATGTTTATCTGAAATAGGGATAATAGAGTTATGATGGAACTACAAGCAAAGAGGAAAGAATTAGAAAAGATCCAAATGGGAAGGGTACAAAGGAATTTAATTTACTCAAAAAGAGAGTACTTTGACTATAATAATGAAAACTCTAAACTGTTAGCCAGATCTACCCAAGCGAGAAAGGTTGACTCAAGATGATGCGGGTAAAGGGTATTTTAAAAATGAAAGAAAAATTAGAAGCATTTCAGAATTTTTAAAAAAGTTATACACTGATAATATAGAGGGAATAATAATATTTTTACAATGCAAAAAAGAAGATAGTGAAAGAATTGAACAATTTATTGAGGAAAAAGAGATAGAAGAGGTTATAGATAAATTAAAGGTAGGGCAATCTCAGTTTCAAGAACTAGGCATTCTAGGATCTATTTATGTTTGCTGGAGTCTCATGAGATAACAGCGGGATCCTGATACAAAGTCATTGATTATATAATTGAAATCTACAGTCGTGCCCCATTTAACAATTACCCTGCATTATGACGAATCCGCTTCACGATGATGTTTTTGCAATCACAATTGCGATCGCAAAATGATGTTTTAAATGGGTTTTTTTTCGCTTTGCGAAGATTGGTGTGGGTCTGGCAGAATGGAGATTTATGGGATATGGAGTTAAAAAACTAGCAGAAAACAAATGGCATATGCATGTGAGATGGACTGTCATGAAATATGATGAGTACTTGTTTAGATACTTTTGAATACTGTATTTTTCCATGTATAAGACTATACTTTTGCCTAAAATCTTTAGACTAAAAATTAAGGGTCGTCTTATACACAGAAGTAAGCTGAGGAGAGAACAAAAATAAGTGGAGGTGAAAGCAGGGATCAAAGCGATCCTGAAGCACTTTGATCCCTTTCCTGCTACACTTGCTAAGCCACTCTTATACATGGGGGCGTCTTATACATGGAAAAATACGGTAAGATGCAGAAGAATTCATGGAGGAGAAGGAAAAATATAATGGACTATTGACCATGATATATAAACAGCATCTCCATATTCAGAGGCAGCACGTACCTTTCAATCCCAGATACACTGGATGCAAGGAAGAAGGGGAATCGTTGGGTTGACATCTTCACTGAAGCTTTCCAAGAGGTGACAGGTATCTTATGGCTGGAAGTAGGCTGCTGAATTTGGGTGTTCTCAGCCAGAAGGTTTCTTCTTAACATATCTTGTTCTCTAAAATGAATGGAAAAGGCATGTGAACGTTGAGTGAGCATCAACAGACATGTCCTGTGTAGTCAATGTTGTTTTGTGAAGGAGAGTTCGTGTTATCTAACAAACTCTCTCCCCCCCTCCCTCTTCCTTGAAACGTGCTTCTGAAAGAAAGTCTTGTATAACAGCTTAAAAAACGATCCTCTTTTTGCTGTATGTGCAAGGCAAAAAAAAAGAATTGTTCCCCACCACGTGTTTGTGTACAAAAGAGGCTTAAGCTGAAAGGGGTGGTTTGCCTTTTTTTTTTCAATTTAAGAAAAAAATCTGATTGCAGATAACCACTCAATTTGATTTAGTGTCAAATGATAGTGATGGGGTTGATAACTCGGCATTCATCGGTAATTCATCTTCTCTTGGTAGGAATTTACCGCAAAGCAGTGCTTTCCCAACACTGACAAGTCCTATTAATCTTCTTCAGACACATTTCAATAGGTGCCTCCATCTAGACCTTGCATCTAAACAGTCTAGAGCATCACCAGAGAGACTGGGATAGGTTTTCGTTTCAGGTCCTACTCTAAGAGACAGTGGGTGACTAGATTTTACATCCTTTCCTATTGATCTCTGTCTCTCTGTCTCTCTCTCTGTCTCTGTGTGTGTGTGCCTTGCTCTCTCTGTATGCACGTGCGCATGCGTCCTTTCTGCTGATTTAATTAGGACTGCGTCTGTCAGGCTTTTTAGATCCGCACCTTATTTGGATACAAAATAAACATTGCATGCTGCTGCAAACCCACCTCCTCCAAAACATTTTTTTTTAAAGTCTGAAAGGTGAAAATGAAGTAGGTGGACCTTCTCTCAGCAGAGATAATCTAGCATTACTTCTGGGAGAGAGAAAAAAACCTAAATTTTTAACTAACTTTTAACACCAAGGAGTGGCACATCTAGTGGGTAGAAACCTGAGAAGGTGCGCACGGCCACCATCCACATATGATGAACTCTATACTACTATGAAGCTCAGAGATAAAGATAGGATAAAGAAAATAAGTGCACATCAATGCATCATAGGACAGTGCAATAAATGGATACTAAGAAAGTAACACATTGTTGTCTCTCCCCCCTTTTTTTGGACTATATACAGTATATTGAATATATGTATATGTATCAAAGTACATATAATTCCCCTGAAATCTTAATATATTCCCCTAGGGCAGTGGTCCCCAACTTTGGGCTTCCAGATGTTCTTGGACTTCAACTCCCAGAAATCCTGGCCAGCAGAGGTGGTGGTGAAGGCTTCTGGGAGTTGTGGTTGAAGAGCATCTGGAGGCTTAAGGTTGGAGACCACTGCCCTAGGGGATATGCTCTACTGCTTAAAAAACACTGAATTGGGCTTTTCTCACTCATATGTGATAGTGTCATACTCTGATTTTGGGGCGGGGGGAATTGGCAAGCATGAAGCATTCAGGAGTGAAACAATACGATCCAATGGATAGAGAATTAAATGCAAATTGGAGTAGCAGGAGTTCATATTATAACTAGGAGCCAGAAAGTGCACATTTTGGCTGTCAACCTAATTTTCAAGGCTCCAGCAGACCATTTTGTCTTATTTTCAGTTACACAGCTTTAGAATGGTCCCAAAGATTGGGGGGAAAGGGGTTTGGGGCTTTTTTGCACTTCTGATCTTAGAATCCAACAGCCAACATGCCTATTTTTGAGTTGTAAAACAGTCCCTCTGCCAGTGCCTAGTTAGACATTATTGTTAAATCGTTCAGTGGTTTACATATCTGGTTATGGAGCAGAGGTTCGGTGTTTGATACTCCACTGGGCCACCCTGGAAGGGTCTGGACTGGATGATCCATAAGGCCCCTTCTACCTCTGTGGTTCTAAGATTTGTTGTTAGCCGCCTAGAGTGGTCCTCACCGACCAGATAGGCGGGGTATAAATTAAATAAATAAAATAATAAAATAAATAATTGTTGTGTTGTTGTTGTTGTTGTTGTTGTTGTTGTTGTTGTTGTTGTTGTTGTTGTTACAATCACATTAGCTGATTCAACAGCATTGATATGTATGTATCATCACCTCATTTTAAAATCCGTCTCCACGAACTAGTAGTAGAAAGTACTGTTGGGAAAACTGCAATCTTGCATGCTTTAATGCTGAGCATCTGTGGGAAGGCAGCTGCCTTATTGTTTTTACTACATATTTTACTGTTGATTGGTAGACTGATTGATTGATTCTTCACAGCTCTGTTATTTGGCCAACCCCGTCTTCCTCTTTGTTTTGACTTGTTCTCTAGTTTTTGGCCTTTTATTCCCTCCCCAACATTCTACATGACAGGAATTCCATTTTTACCTACCACTCCCCCCACTTCTGATTGTAACTAGAGCTGATAACTGTGAGTAAATGCCACTTCTTCCTTCTTAAGATACATCTAGAACAGTCATTCCCAACCTTGGATCTCCTAATGTTCTTGGACTATAATTCCAGAAATCCTGGCCAGCACAGCTAGTGGTGAAGGCCTCTGGGGGTTTTAGTCCAAGAACATCTGGGGACCCAGTAATGTAGAGGGATCACTTCTTAGAAGAGCTAGACTGTGTGTTTTAAAGGAAGGTTGCTGAAACTGGGTTAGACCCCTCTACACTTTCGTCTCATATAAAAACTGTTTTTTTAAACCAAATTCCAAAGTACTAGCTTTAGACTGCAGTTATGAAAAAGCTTAATTGAACACCGAATATCTAAGCAAACAGTTTTAGGATCATGCTGCTCAGTTAAAACAACAAGAAGAATCTTGTTAGCTTGGCCAATGTTAAATTTCCCTGGCCTGCAGGCAAGATCCTTCAGGGTACCTCTGAGATGCAGACTAGATGAAGCAGTGTGTGCCCAATTAGAAACGGAGTTGTCTGAAGTGGCAAAAGATGTGAGATTGACCTAGCATGAGTTTCACTAACTTGCTTTTGTCTCCTGATTGGTCAGTGGCATGTAAACAAGGGCTTCATTGGCAAGTCTGATTGTGCTTTGAAAGAACTGTGTGCCCAATGGAAAAGCATGATAATAACAGGAAATGTGCATTTCCCTTAACATGCATTTTGCCCTTTCAGATGAGATGGTTCAGAGAGTTAATTTGATATAGGGCCTTCTCTTTCTTTCCTTCTCTTAAACCAAAGCAGTCAAGCAAAGGATTTGGGACCTGAACAATCTGAATGACTTTATAGCAGTGTGACTGTTACGAGAGGTTAAGCTTCTCTCTTCCAATGTTTCTGCTTGCATGTAAATTTTCTTGGCAACTCACTGAGTTTACGCATTGAGATGCTCTGGATACCAGTAGTTTTAACTCATCCAAGTCCCAGCTAAGAGAGATACAAGACTTTTTGCTGTAAAAACAAAAGTCTTCATTTGATCTCTCACAATATCATGTTCTTGCAGTTACAAACAAGTAACCCAACCACATTCTGTTCAAATATTACTTTGTGGAGGGCCCACATTTATTCTTCTATAAATGTTTGTTCAACTTGATGACAATTATGCCCCCTTGGTCCGTCAATGTAAAAGGGCATCACCACATCGCTGCCTCACACATCTGATCGTTGGGAGGGGTTCAGGAAGAAAAGGTAGGAAAGGAGAGAAAGAAGAGGGTGGAGTTTGAGGCAGAAGCAGGAGAGATAAAAAAAGGAAGGAGGAGCTATTATGCCAGGTTGGGAGTGGGCATGGATGGAAGATCTTTGGACAGGATTATGGAAGAGATTAAGGGTACCTAAAGAAGAAGCTGGTTATAGAAAGAGAAGAGTATACCCACCCCGACCATCTTATTGGGGAGAAGCCGAGGCGAAAGAGTGGAGGAGGAAGCCGAGAGAGGAGAAAGACAAGGTAGAGAGGCAGAAAGGAAAGAAAGGCTGGAATGGGGGATAAGAGAGATGAGGAGGAAAGGTTACAGGGAGGACCCTGGATGGATCCAGACCCAGAGGGACGCTCCCTGTGGAATGGTGACCGAGATGATGAGCCCATGCCCCTGTTGGCCCTTAGAATGGCAGTAGTGGAAACACGTTCCTGTTCGAAGACTGGAAGCCCCTTCAGGACCCGTTGGCGGAAGGAGAAAAGTGTCCACATCATGTTATAGACACTTGTTATCTGTTAAATACACCAACAAATATTCCACCTGTTTCAAAGCATCAAAAACCTACTGATTTCTTTGAAGCAAAAAAAAAATGGATTCAAAAGCCAAACCCTCACCCCATTTCACATTATTGGGATTCAAATGTGAGCCTGAATTCAAGTCAATTGCAAATGTCAGCCATGAACTGGCCAAACATTTGAACACTGCTACTTGAATCTTATTGCCTATGAGTCTATATAGTATTTGGAAGGGGAAGGGGGTCCCAGAAGGGTAAATGGTTTAAGCAGTTTCTCCCTAACAGTCCTGGTGGTGCAGAACACAACATTTTAGTCTGTGTTTTTTTCCTCTTCAGTTTTTTTCCCCCTCTTTGGTCTCAGATGTTTTCATGCTTGTTGTTTGTTGTTTAAATTCCTTGATAAATTAATATAATCCTATTGCCTTCTATGATATAATACTTTTAAAACTGCAGAACTGGAAGGGACTCTATAGATCATCAAGTCCAGCCCCTTTCAAGGAATGGGGAACCGAACTCCCAACTTCCAGCTTAGATATCTAGACCACTGAGTTATCTTGATCACATAGGGGGAATGGTGTGAGTGACTGGACCTATCCTGCAAGCTCTCCAACATGCCTCTGGCCATTCCCAGGTTGCACAGTTGATCACACCCCCAATCATGCAAAAAAAATGACCACCAAAGGCAGAGGGAAAGCTTTCATGGTTGGACTTCTGTCCTGTTTTTCTCAATAGGATCTTGGCCTCAAACATCACAGTGGGGCATGGCCTTTCCCAATAGGATGTTGCACGGAGGAGCTTCCCTGCAGCCCCCAGCATCCCCGAGAATTGTGGGAGTTGTAGTCAGATATCTAGGCAGAGCACCCACTTGGGAGAAGGTGCATTGCATGGCTCTGCAGTTAAATAATGAGCACCAGCTGCAACCCATTTGTAGGGCGGGGAAGGGAGAGAAATGCAAAACACATTGTAATCTGATCTCTCCAATGAACATGATGATTTAGTAGCAGTATAACACCGAGATGAGTGTTGAGAATTCAAAACCTTCCCTTCCTTGGTTTATCCATTTTTAACACACATCTGTCAAATGCCACTTGAGTCTTAAGCTCCAACTTGGTGATGAAAAAATGACTCGGGGTTAATGCAGCCACCTACATCACCACCACGCAACTCTAGGGACTCCCCTTTTTTGTTTTCCTTACATTAGCTGCCAACGCGTGAACAAATATTGCTCAGTCAAATTAGACCAATAATATTTAGAGACGGATTATGTGCTGGGATCCTTGCAGTGGGCAAACAAGATGGACACATGCATTTTGCCAAAGAGCCCCTCAGAATTTAAATGGGATCATTTGGAGTTTGTTAGTTTGTTAGCAGAGGAAACAAGACGTGGAAAATTGTCTGGGTCAAGTACTTGGGAAGGCAGCCCGGAGGGACCTCTTCCTCTGCTATTCTTTTGCCTTCGCCAACATCTCCAGTCCTTCAGCTGCTCTTTCTTTCCCACTTCGGTGTCTTGCATCCGTCCATGGAAATCAGTCCTGGTAGGGTCAGCGACTTTCATTCTGCATGTCAGAAATGTGCTGGTCACATGTGTTCCATGCACGTGGCACTTCAGCATGAATCATGCCCCTTGCCCCTTTGGCAGGCACATATGCAAGCTAAAACAAGCATTACCTTACATATGCAGAAGTGTGATGTGTTCCTCCACCCTGCAGAGACGATCTTCAACTTGGAGTTGGTGAAAGTACTGTTGGTCTGTTGCCTGTTTTCCTTCTTCCTGTTTCTAATCAATGTGTGAACGTGCGGTTTTCTTCAGAACCATCTCCGGGAATTCCTACAACAAATGTAAGAATGGCAAGTTTAATGAACATCATTGTTTGTTTTGTTGTTTCGTAGGGTAACATCATTGTCTAGGTCTATAAGGCCTTGAGTGGGCAGAGCTGGGGCAGCGAGTTCCCATCCTGTAACCTCCACTTTGGGGATTTTTATTGTATTCCAGGGATCGGGTCACCAAAAGCTGAAGCTAAAAACACTGAGATGGAAAGAATCCAGAGCACATCATTGTGAAACATGAGATGGCTGAGCTGGACTGAACTAAGCTGAGCATGGCTGAACTGAACTGAACTGAGTTCTTCCACACACAGAAATGTGGTCTTAATTACCTCAGGCTCTCTTCATTGTATCCATATAATTTAGGACAGGGTAGAAACTAAGGTGAGGAGCCATTTCGGTCAGAAGACCAAGCAGTCGTAAGATCGAACCCACGTGACAGAGTGAGCGCCCATCGCTTGTCCCAGCTCCCGCCAACCTAGCGGTTCGAAAGCATGCAAATGCAAGTAGATAAATAGGGCCCACCTCAGTGGGAAGGTAACAGCGTTCTGTGTCTAAGTCGCACTGGCCATGTGACCACGGAAGATTGTCTTCGGACAAAACGCTGGCTCTATGGCTTGGAAACGGGGATGAGCACCACTCCCTAGAGTCGAACACGACTGGACAAAAATTGTCAAGGGGAACCTTTACCTTTACCTTAGAAACTAAGGTGAGGAGCCATTTTTTTGCTACATTTTGGATTCAGAAAACCTTGCTGATCTACTGCAGATCACTCAGAGATTTCCCAGTAGATCTCTTCCTGTCTACTCAGCCAGAGGAGCTAACTATTACAGAGGGAATGTCGCTAGAGGAGGAAATTCCTCAAGTGCTGAAAGCATACAGGTTTTACACCTCCTGTAGTTTGCATATTAGCACCCTTTGTTTTGTGATTGGTTTGTCAAATGTAAACACATGAACTTTTTTTTAAAGTCTGGCTTCTCAGACTTTCTGCCTGAATTGTATCTGTAGAACACTGATGGTATTTCAATTAGATTTGTGTTAGCTGTAATGTACAGTTCGTCTCTTGGGAAACCGTAAACACACTTACTGAATACGGATGGATTTACTTCCAAGCAGACATGATGCTCAAAAATGAACACTTAACTGGGGTGCTCTTTCTTTGAGTTTTGATTCTGCCATGAATTGACAAGGTTCTCATAAGCAAATCTGCCATCATTGGAGTAAGGATGTAATGTAGTGATCTGTAACAAGTTACTTTTTTCCTAGAAGAATGTTAGAAGATCACATATCAAAAGCAACATAAGTAGGCATAAATTTACTTTATTGGGATAACTAGGAAAACTGTAGGGACATTTTACACAAATTTTACCAGATTTTTCCAAGTTTTATGCTGTTCTCTTATCTTTCCTAAAATGTTTAACCCCAGAAGAATTGAAAGGTAAAGAAAGGTGTAGTAGACAATGCAGTAAGTAACTTTTCAGACATTGTTGTGTGTGATGGCAATGAGTTACTGTTTTTTCAAATGATATAAGGAAGAACAAGAAGTTGCTACTTGTATAAAGCAATTTTTCATGCTCAGCTGTTGCTGTTGTTTTGGATAGTTCTTCTATATGTTGTATATTTTTATATTAAATAGGAGTGAAAATTAATGTTAAAATAATCTCTACTGGGGTTGTTTTTAGGATAAAATGGGAATAAAAGCCACACGGGGCACCTTGAGTTCACTAAAGAAAAGAAGGTATAGAGATGCATCTAGTAAATAAATCATTAACAGGGATAAAGATGCAACTAGTAAATAAACTCTTTTCTTTACATCCCACCTTACTTCAACCAAACTTAAGGAGGAATATTAAAGTTTCCAAAGCAAACTCCTGACAAAAACTAGATCGACTTATTTTGAGCAAGATGCAGGAGTAGCTGGTAAATCTGGATTCTTGGGGGCAGTCTGCCCTAGCTTTTAGAAGCTCCACCCAAGATACCAAATTCTATCCCCCAAAAGAGGTGCAATACCTTGGATAGCTCCTATAATGTTCAGATTAAAAGCTGCGGTGGATTTCATGCAAACCCAAAGTCGCTGGCTGCCGTGATATGACAGTTCTGTTGTACAGTGGATAAAGGGATAAAGCATTTTGTGATGACAGACAGACAGACAGACAGACAGACAGACAGATAGATAGATAGATAGATAGATAGATAGATAGATAGATAGATAGATAGATAGATAGATAGATAGATAGATAGATAGATAGATAGATAGATAGATAGATAGATAGATAGATAGATAGATAGTAAAACTGTTTCCATAATATATATACATTACCGTGGAAGTTTTTATACCAGAAGAACAAAGCTGATAAACTAAGCAAATAAAGAGGCAAAGTGTGCCTTTATTGTTCAGACCAGAGTAGGGACTGTCCAAGACATTTTGCTGCCTGAGGCAGAACAGCAAATGATGCCCCCCACCCCCACCCCCAAAAAAGTCAATGTTCATGGGTCCCCTAGCTAGCCTGATTATTTTGATACCTAAGGCAGAAAATCCGAGAAGTGCCTCCTCTGATTCCCTGACAGTGAAAAATAAAATCATAATAAATTAAAGAACTAACTACTTGCTGCCCTTTTATGACAGCTAGAAAACGGTTGCCCGGGGCAACTCTTCACTCTGCCTAATGGAAGGGCCAGCACAGGACCAGCAGCCGGGAAGGACATCCATCAGCATATGCACATTCAAGATCTCGCATCAGAGCTTTCCAGCTGCTGAACTTTTAATCTCCCCCATCGCACTCCTGCTCAAAGAGCTTGAGAGTTTTACACAGATAAACATCTGATTACAAAAGAATAACAGCCCCCTCCTCCCTTATCATCTTTAGATTCATTTCTCGGCCTCTGGTTTGGTTACCATAAGAAGACGTTGGCATTTCCCAGGGAGGAACAGTATCAAAGCACAGGGGAAGATATACCCACTGCATTTTGCAAAAATTAGGTATATGAACAGTGTTGGGGTGGGATGAGGACATGGTCTCTCTCTTTTTTTAAAAAAAAAGTATTTATTCATCCTTTAAAAAGGAGTCTAGATGGGCTGGGTAGAAATCCAATAAAATGAAATAAAATAAATAGGATAGGATAGGATAGGATTTCCCACTTTATGGACAGCTGAGTTTCAAAACAGTGATTTCTCTAAAGATGCAAGACTAAGCAGAGGCTTCAGGCTATGTTTCCAGTCTGGGACTCTTTCCACACTAATTACTACATCACCCAGAGAGAGAGAGAGAGAGAGGAACTCTCAAAGACTGCCAGCTCAAACTTTGTCCATCTTTCCCTCACACAGCTTCAAACCCCATCGTCTGACTCACGTTAGAAGATTCGAACGACCTTATTGTAGGTGGCAAGTTTAAATGTGCCATATTAATAACTTCTTATCCGAGACAAATTAAGTCCTTCTGTGTCAAAAGCACTCTGCCCCGGGATTTACCTACAAGAGAAGTATTTTATTGAATAAATGTTAGCTCCAATTTCATGTTAATGTGACTGACAGGAAACTCCCGGCCTTTGCAAATAAGTTTTTTTTTAAAACAAAAACAAAAACAAAAACACTCTAACCTGCAACTTGGGTTGCAACTGGATGCCTAACTTGTCTTTTCCTATTATTGTCCCAGTCAAAGAGGGAGAGATCTTGAAAGGAATGTGGAGGGGAGCGAGATTCCCCACCTACCCCCCAACCACCCACTCCTTGTTCTCATTCTGAAGAGCAGAGGGAAGAGATGGAAAAAAGCACCAAAAAGGAGAAGAAGTCTGGCATGCAGCCTAAAGAGAAATCATTGAAACAAATTAATCCTGTGCTGTTTAAATTGACATGGTAATCCATCATCAGCAAAGCAAACTCTGAAAGCAATCTAGAATCGGCAGTCTTCTTTTGCACTGCCCTAAGGCACAAAGGCAGATAGTAGAAAAGGAGTGAGAGGAGGAAGAAATATAAAAGTTAGTAATGCCTTGGGAAGGAGAATTTTTTTTTAAAAAAAGAGAGAAAACAGCTGGTGTTTCTTCTGCCCTCCAGACATGGCTGCTTCCCAATAACTGTAACAACAAGAAGAAGTCACTCAAGTAATTGTCCGTTATCAGTTTCAAATCTGGATTTTTCCTTCGTTCTGTTCCGCTGTTGAAGAATGCACAAGTCTCAGGATTTTTTCCCACCTGGTGTAACAATACGACTGGAGAATAAAGGAATTCATCTTGGGTTATAGATGGGAGTAAAAAAAATCCTGGTCCTCCTTCAGACAATGGGAAATAGAGGCCTCCTGGGAGCAGATGTTGTTGAAGTTGTCCTCCTAACATAGTCTTGGGTTTTCACTAGGACTATGAAACCGATTTAGCTGGCTGCGGAGCCAGCGGTTGGGGGTTCAAATCCCCACAATGAGCCAGCCTGTGGGGCCTTGGTCAAGCTGCACGGTTGCAGGGGTGCCCCCAGAAAAAGGGAACGGCCAGCTAATTCTTAGTATTGTCCACCTTGAAACCCCTGGAAAGACTTGGCAGCCCATCTTGAGGAGGATGTACAAGATTTGCGTAAATCTCAAATTCTGGACAAAATTAGGACTGATGAAGACTAATTCGTAACAGTCCTGGGATCAAAGTGAAAGGGCAAAAGACGGGCAAAGCTGAGATTTCAGTGGCAGAGCTGGTCGTGTCCTGTGTGTTTCAGTCAAAAAATGTTTGATTCCTTGTCAATTGTTGAGATTGTCTGGTGCTTTCTCAGAAGCTTCTACCTTCTGCGGGTATGGTAGACAGCACTAAAGATGAGAGAGAATTTGGGTTTGCAGCTGAAATCCTGGACTGCCTCCCCCTGCCCATTCCTCCTGGTTCTTTCATTACTTTTCAAAAGATCCTAAAAACATTGTTCTTTCTTTCCTGCTGCTCCTCCCACAATGCGATGAAGCCTTCAGACTTGCATTTTGTTGGTGGCTGCTTTGTTTTCTAATGCATTTAAGGTTGAGTGAGATTTCCTTGAGATTT